GATTAGTGGTAGCCTCGGCCTGGTGGGTAGTGAGGTATGGGGAGTGAATGCTAATGAGCATGGGATTTCTTCCTGGGATGATGAAAATCTTCTAAAATTAGATTGCGGTGAGGGTGGCACATCTCGGGGAATACACTAAAATACACTGGATTATACACTTTAGTTACATGGGATTATATCTCAATAAAGCTATTACAATTAAAAGATGCTCCTTGGAAGGAGCTATGACAAACCTTGATAGCCTATTAAAAAGCAGAGACATCACTTTGCTGGCAAAGGTCCATATAGTCAAAGCAATGGTTTTTCCAGCAGTCCATATTGTGAGAGTTGGACAATAAAGAAGGCAGAGCACCGAAGAATTGATGCTTTTGAACTGTGGTGCTGGAGAAGACTCTTGAGAGCTCCCTGGACTAGGGAGATCAAACCAGTTAATCCTAAAGGAAATCAGTCCTGAATATTCACTGGAAGGACTGATGCTAAAGCTGAAGCTCCAATACTTTGGCCACCTGATGGGAAGAGCTGACTCACTGGAAAAGACCGTGATGTTGGTAAAGACTGAAGGCAAAAGGAGAAGAGGGCAGCAGAGGATGAAATGGTTAGATAGCTCACTGACTTAATGGACATGAATCTGAGCAAACTCTGGGAGATAACAGAGGGCAGAGAAGCCTGGAGAGCTACAGTCCATGGGGTCACAAAGAGTCAGGCATGACTTAGCAACTGAACAATAACAACAATGAAAACTATTACAAAAAATAATGTTAGTAACACACAGAAAAAAGAAGCATAGAAGGAAATGTCTTTAAACCTGAAAACATGTCAAAAATATACAGCAAGTGTTTCAATTTACTAGATAAAAGCTGAAGGCCTTTGAGACACAGAAAAACAGTGGCTCCTTCTACTAAGCATGTTACAGACAGCACAGTAAATTGTGGAGAGTGTACAAGGATGGGGAGACATGATAGGTTAGAAGATAATAAAGCAAGAATATCATCCTGCCATTCCTGGATGATATGACAGTGTGTAAACATCCAAAAGCATCTACAGGTAAGATTAATTGAAAACTAATAGGTATGCAGCTTGCTGGATACAGAATATAGCTCTGAGGGCTCAAAACAGAACAAGGAGGCAGTTTGCAGTATACAGGAACAGCACTTATGACCCAACAACTCAAGTTCTAAAAATCGGCCTTAAATTTAAAATCCTAAGTCCATAAATATGAAGAAATATGGACAAACCCATTCAGATGGGAACAACTCAATCGCCCACCAACAGGATGATTCCACACTACAGTGTTGTAAAAGAGGTTTTTTTTTTTTTTTAAAGGCAGATCTCCGTGACCTAATGAGTACTTCAAGACACGTCACTAACGGAAGAAAATGAGATACAAGAATGGACATCTTCTTACGGAAATTCAGTCAGACCTGGGCGAGGCTTTTAAAAGAGGGTGGACAGGAGATGGAGAAAAGACCCCGCGCACGTGCCCTGACCGCATCTCCTCCTGGGTACAGACCACCCAAGCAGTCTTTCTGGAGATGGGAAAAGCTCGGCCCCAACAGATGGGGATGGAGTCGGTCGCTGCTGGGAATAAAAGCGGCGGGTCTTGCAATCCCATGCGCGCAGCTAGGTCTGGGAGTCACACGAGAAGCTGGGCAATACGCGCTGCGGCCCAGAACAGTTCGCGCCTTCTATCATACCCATGATCCTTCCCCGTTCTCCAACGGCCACCGCAGACTCGCAGTCAGAACCTGGGCTTGGGTCTGGCCGGATCAGATGCCAACGGATAAGCTAAGCTGCGGGAGGGGGCTATAGAGACTACGCCGTTTCCGGAGGCGCACTTCTGCGCCCACTCTAGAGAGTGGGCGGGGCTAGGATGCGGCCAAGCGGAGAGTGGCTAAGGCCCAGAGAGGCTGCTGGCCACAAGCTGAGGACAAGCCTAGTAAAGTTTGGGGACTTGCCAGGTGTCTCGTGGTAAAGAATCTACCTGGCAATGCAGGAGTCGGCAGGTTTCATCCCTGGATCGGGAAGATGCCCTGGAGTAGGAAATGGCAACCCACTCCAGTCTTCTTGCCTGGAAAATGCCATGGGTAGAGCAACCTGGCGGCCTGAAGTCCATGGGGTCACAGGAGTTCGACAGCCCGAGAATCCACGCAGGATAAGCAAAAGAGGCTTATCAAGTCAAGTAACTTACTCTTGATGTCACATTAAAATATAAAATGATCCCCAGGTACATGAGCCCAGGTCTTTGACTCCATTTGTTCTCCCCAAGGGAAAATGGAGAGGTCCCCAAGATTTTGAAAAGGAAACTGAGCAGTCAAAAGGAGTCCAAACTTCACTTACTCAACCATTATGGATTCTCTTGTGTGGTCAATGCCTCTCCCTTCTTCCTAACCTAAATAAGCCCCCCAGAAGTCAGAGAACTTTCTGTCCCAATTCCAATTTAAACAATGATTTTCCTGGTATTAAAAACCAATAACCAGAGAGTCTAGATCAGACTTTAAGCTACCTGCCAAGACAGAGAGACAGAGACAGACAGGCCATTACAAATCTGAGAATGGCCAAAATCTGATACTAATAATGACAAACACTGGTGAAGATGTAGAATAGGAAAGCTCATTCAGTGCTGGTGGAAATACAAAATTGCACAGCTACTTTGGGATACAATTTGATGATTGCTTACAAAACTAAATATAATCCTACCAAGTATTACAATAGTCATACTTTGATATTTACCCAAGTAAGTTGAAAACATACATCCACACAAAAACCAGCACATGCATGCTCTGGATTGGGTGGGGGTGGGGGGTTGTTTCTTTGCACATGAATGTTTATAGTTTTACTCAACTGCCAAAACTTGGAAGCAGTCAAGACGTCCTTCAGAAGGTGAACAGATAAGAAACAACAGATTACCAGAGCTAAAGTGAATGAACTATCAGGCCATGAAAAGACCTTAAATGCATATTAATTACTAAGTGAAAGAAGTCATTCTGGAAAGATTAAATACTGTATGATTCCAACTATAAGACACTCTGGAAAAGACAAAACTGGAGATTAGTGGTTGCCAGGGATTAGTGAGAGTGATTGGCAGAATATATAAGCAGGGCACAGAGGATTTTTAGGGCAGTGAAAATACCCTGTATGATACTATAATGAATATATATCATTATAGTTGACCCCTGAACAACAAGGGTTGATCTGAACAGGTCCACTTATATGTAGGTTTTTTTTTTTTTTTTTCAGTGAGTACATACTAGAGTACTACATAGTTCATGGTTGGTTGTATTCACAGGTGCAGAACCCAGAAGGCTGACTGGTAAGTTGTACTGGGGTTTTTGACTTTGAAGAGGGTCAAGGTCCTTAGACCCCATGTGTTCAGCGTTCAACTGCAGTTCTCAAATGAGATTCATTCAAATGAGAAATTCACATCTGGTTCAGTAGCTTTATGCCAGCTTCATCATTCCTGGCCTCAGGTTCTACTTGGCACCTGGAAGCCATTTATGTGGGTACCCTCAGGACTTAACTGTTACATCAAATTAGTGTCCCCCACCCCTGCTCCCCTATCCTAAATATTTTTATCCATCAGAAGTAGGAGCAGTGTTTGGTGGTCCTGAAGTGGAAGAATCTTGAGGTCAGGGACAAAGGTTGTTAATGATTACAGCAGAGAGCAGAGCAAATTTTGGTGAGAAGAGACATGCCACTTGTGTGAATTTCTGGGCTGTCTGACCCCCTCTGGAACTTCCTTCTACCTCCTCCCTCCCAAATTAAAACAATGGAATAAACCTCTTCAGTGAATTCTCCTTTCTAGGCTGTATCCCAATGAATAAGTAGCCTGCCCTCTGCGTTTTTGTCAGATGCAGCCTTGTCATTTCCTCTAGGAACAAGATGCTCTGGGTTTCTAGTGAGGTGCATGAGTATGGATGGCCAGGGCAGAGTTACTGGCAGAGGGTGTGTGTGCTTGTATTTACAGTAGAGCTCAGGAAGGCCCCCTCTCTCTTTTTTCTGGTGATATATGATGTGGACTATCTTTTCACATGCTTATTTGCTATTTGTATGTCTTCTTTGCTGCTGTGTCTATTAAGGTCTCAGTCCATTTTTAACCAGCTATTTGTTTTCTTATTATTGAGTCTTAAGAGTCTTTTATCAGTTGTCTTTTGCAAACATTTTCTCTAAATCTGTGCTTGCCTTCTCACTCTCTGGACAATGCCTTTAGCAGAGCAGAAATTTTTAATTTTAACAATGTCAGTTTATCAATTATTTTTTTTATGGATCATGTCTTCCATGTTATATTTTAAAAAGTATTGCCATACCCCAAGGGCTTCTAAGTTTTCTCCTATGTTGTCTTCAAGGAGTTTTACAGTTTTGTGTTTAATACCTAGGGCTGCAATGCATTTTGAATTAACTTTTGTTAAGAGTGTTAAAGGTCAGTGTCTAGATTTATTCTTTTGCATGTGGATGTCTGGCTGTTCCAGCATCATCTGTTGAAAAGAATTATATTTCTACATTCCATTTCCTTCACTCCTTTGTCAAAGATCAGCTGCCCATATTTATGCTTAACATCATTAGTCTTTAAAAATAAGAGTATATACAAGAAACAAATTGGTATGATTGAAGTTTTTTCTTTCATTTTCACTGCAATGCATGGTTCCAGGCCTCACTGCTTTCAAGCAAAATGAAGTGATCATTCTGCAACAAAACTCTGTTGTATTCTTTACTTTCATAAGGATTCTTATAGAGTTTAGCTGATAATTGACCAAAATGAAATGATTTATCCAAAACTTCATCAGAATGACATATATGGGAGTATTTAGCCAAGTGAATTCTATGTAAAGAAATAATTGTGAGGGATATTTCAAGTGTCTGCCAAATTCACAATGCTCAGAGACTGAAAAACAGGTGAATGACATTAGCCTCAAATATCATGGTTATTGTGCTGCTTTTCTATTTTATGGAACTGTTAATCTTCCACTAGTGGAAGGGAAGGAATTATACCTTGTGAATCTTACCATGTCTACCATGTTGGATTTTTTCCCATTCAAAATATTCCATTGAGGTGCTGACCTTCTGGTATTCAGACAAATTTCCCAATCTGAAATAAGATTACAAAAAATTACCTTATTGGAAAATAAATGGAAGGAAGGTGTTAAAAATGAAGGCCAATGTGTATTTACTTTCAAACATTGACTTAAAATATATTTTAGAACAGAAAGAAAGAATAAATTAAGTTTGGCTGGATTAAGAGTTTGGCATGATAAGGTGCTATGGTCAAATTAGTAGGTGATTTACTAAGAAATGATTCTGTAAGTGTTAAAGCTGACAATGAATAGAAAGCACCATGGAGGAAAACAAAGGTGAAAGGAAATGGACAAAGAGCTTAAGGCAAATGCAAAATTTAAATTAAAAAATGGGACAGATTCTACTGTCAGGCCAAAAGAAAGTTTCCAAAAGTGAGGGAAAAGTTAAAGAGAAGAAAAGTTTGGACTTCCCTGGTGGTACAGTAGATAAGAATCCACCTGACAATGCAGGGGATGTGGGTTTGGTCCCTGGTGTGAGAAGATCCCACTTACTATGGAACAGCTTAGCCCATGTGCCACAACTGCTGAGCGTGAAAGCCTAGAGCCTGTGCTCCACAACAAGAGAGGCCACCAAAATGAGAAGCCTGTGCACCACAACAAGGAGTAGTCCCCGCCTGTCACAACTAGAGAAAGTTGTGAACAGCAACGAAGACCTAGCACAGCCAAATAAATAAATAAATATTTAGCCTTTTCTCTCTCTTGGAAAACTTTCCATTTTCTTCAGCTTTCCTCTTAGTTCTACCTGAAAGATCAGACGAGTATGCATAGCTGGTGCGCTGCTCTGAGAGGAAGATGCCTGATATAAGACTAATATGTAAGGGATGACAAATACTTCCATAAATACAGGGCCGAGAGTCTGCTCTTCAGGGATACCAAATACTCTCAGGTATAACTTGAGAAACAACAAAATGTTTGTCTCAACTTTATCAAACCGGTAAACTTTAAAATAAAACTAAAATGCAAACATATTCACATTCTCTCTCTCATTTTTCACAAAACAGACTCCCAATCTTTGGCCTAAAACCCAAGCTCAAGCTTATATACACAATTTTGAAGTCCTAAGCCTTTTATCCTAGGAAAAATAAAGTCAGTACAATGGACAGATCTTCATTTTTCTAGAAGAAGCCACTGTACTGTAAAGTCTATGACCTCAAAGGTCACTGGATCCTAAACCATCACAAACATCCTGGCATCAGGCAGTTGCCATCTCCATCAGTGTGCACTTGAGAAAGAGGAAGGGAGACCCAAAGCCTAGACAGGTTTCATGTTCTCCCACCATCAACCCTAGGGCTTGATGGTCCTCAAGCCCCTTCTCCTCTCTACCTGGACATATTCATAGTGACCTCATCCAATTATGTAGCTTTAAGAGCACCTCTCTCTCTCCTAACGATGTATCTCACCACAACTAGATTGTGACCTCTTCTGGTCTTATTTTTCGCTACTGATAGGATTAGCAATAGTTCTGAGCACATTACAGACAATAAATGCTAGAAATGCATCACTCCTCCAGTGATAGCACAAATTCTCAGAATCACATGTCAGCTCCCTGTCTATTATAGCAAAATGAGGGCACACAATTAGCATGGATGATTGGATTGAATTAGTAAATACGGGGATGATGGTATCATTCTCTTATGTAAATGAAAGGCCCTAAGATGTGAGGAAATTTAACTTGGACTCAGTCCCTAAGCAGGTTCTGTTGGAATAAAAAGCTCTGTTTCACTAGAAGGAAACACATCTACCTGGTAGGGAGAAGCATGTGCTTTTATAAAAGAATAAATTTCCTACTCACTTGAAAATAATTTGTCAGATGTCCAGTCACAGTCCTTTTCCCTTCTGACTTCTCTTCATAAAGACAGAAAAAGTCTTGGGAAAGACAGCCTTGAGGAGAAGAAACAAAACCTGAGAATTCAGGCTGCTCAGTTCCCATATTCACAAGCCTGGAAACACCCCATACTAATTCTAAGTAAACACATACACACTGCTGCCATAAAATGCCCTACAGTCCGCCTCACCTGAAATTAGAAATGGATTTTGATAAAAAGAAAAAAAGTTTAACAATCAATTTCATTTTACAGATAAAAAAATTAAAGTCTAGACAGGTAAAATTATTGGGGTTTTTTTTTTTTGCTAACAGTGATAACTCATGTTAATTAAGCAGAACTTCTCCCACAAAAATGGGCAGACTTACCCCTTTCTCCCCAAGTCCCAGGATTTAGACAACAGGATATTGTTATATACTTAAGGACCCTCCTAGACAGCCCAGAAGCAGGACTATGTAGACCCAGACCACAAAGACATTCTGCTCACAAGCCAGTGAAGTACAGTCTCTGAAAGGAGCATCAGCAAGCACTTGCCAGAAAAGATCAATGGCTGGCATCTGTGATCTGACAGTGAAATCTGCCTTATACATCTTATTCCTGAAGTCTCTTCAAGACAGTTCAATTCCTCTTAAGTAGTAGTGGGAGTCTTACCTCATGCCATCAATCTTTAAGCAGGAGGCATTACTGATTTGTCATCAAGCATCATTCATTAGCCATCTCTCTGCAGAAGATGGCAGTTACATATTATGTGAAAGTCATTAGAAACTGTAGATGGCATGAATATAAATAATTGCCATTTACTGAGTACCCATTATGTGCTAGAAACATTGAAAGCTCATATGATTATCAAATTATTATTACTGTCATTCAATAGTTGAGGCAATTCATGTACAAACAGCAGTGATAATTAGTCCAAGATCACCACTTAGGAAGTGGTGAGCCAGAGCCTGAATCCAGGTTACTCTGTCTCAAAAGCCTGAACTCCTGAGATTATTGTTATTCTCCAATATGACTGGACAGTGATCATGAAATAGTGTGCAGGAAATGATTAACTTAGCAGGTCTGGGTTGCCCCAAATTTTTACTAGGAATATGAGTATGAACCTATGATGTAAGAAAAGATATATTTTAATTGGGTTTTTGAAGAATAATAATATGAGAGTATTACGGACAGAGGAGCCTGGCAGGCTACAATTCACAGGGTCACACAGAGTTGGCTATGACTGAAGTGACTAAGCAGCAACAGCAGCAACAGTCAAGTTCAAAGTGAAGTGGGAATTTATGCTCAAAGATTTATAGGGATGTGTTGAAGGGACACATGAATCAAATTAAAAGGACTACTCTTGGCCAAGTTTGGGAGAGTCTGAGCATCAAATGACAGCAACTGTTTACAATATGATAAATGAAAGACAAATAGGGGAATATGTCATGAAACCCCAAAAGGGAAAAAAATAGAGAAGACAGGGGAAGTAGGGAGAGAAAGCTCTTGTTCACAAAAGACTGACAGCAAGAGAATGGAAAAATTTGGAAAAAAAGAAAAAGAATTAGGAAAAAAAAAAACAACAAAAGCACTTTTCAAGACCCCAACATAAAAATAGGCAGAAGTGAAGATCAACAAGTGATGCTAAAATCACTGGGTGAAAGGGTTGGGCAACAGAGTATTCCCCTGTTGCCAAGTATCACCCACAGATTGTTGTTGTTAAGTTGCTGAGTCATGTCCAACTCTTTTGTGACCCCACAGATTAGCCCGTCAGGCTCTTCTGTTCATGGGATTTCCCAGACAAGAATCCTGGAGTGGGTTGTCATTTCCTTCTCCAGGTGATCTTCCTGACAAAGGGATCAAACCAGCATTCCTGCACTGTGGACAGATTCTTTACCACCGAGCCACCCGGGAAGCCTATTACCTACAGATTACCACAAAGAAAAATGTGACTGTGCAAGAGAGATGGGTACCTTAACTAAACGCTTTGCATTCCTAATACACGGTGGATGACTTGAATTTATGTGCCCCCTGATGAAGTACACATCACCTAGGAAATTTTCAAGTCTCTTAAATCTGCAGTCTAACACAGTAGTCATTGTCTGCTCTGTGTGGCTACCGTGAATATGAAATGTGGCTAGTGAGACTGAGGGCCTGAATTTGCCATTTTACTCACTTTTAATTAAGTTTTAGAAATAAAACTGTTCAGTTACTCAAAAAATTTTTCAGTATGTTTGAAGCAATCTGGGTTTCCCCAAATACTTTTTCAACAGTCAATTTTCTGAAAGCTAAAGATCAAGAATTTCTAATAAAAATTTAGCATCCATACTGAGGTGAGCTTAGGTGTAAAATACATATCAGAGTCCAACAACTTGATACAAAAGAAAAGTAAAATTTCTCACTAATAACTTTGTATTAGCCACATTGGTCATTAATTCACCAATATTTATATACTAATAACTGGGTAAATTAGGTTAGATGTGACATATTATTAAAAATAACTTCACATGTATATTTTCTCCTAATTGACTACTAAAAAATTTTAAATCACATTACATTTGTATTAGATACTACTGGCTCTACCAAGGTGATTCAGTGGTAAAGAACCTGACAGCAAAGGCAGGTGACCTGGGTTTGACCCCTGGGTCAAGAAGATCCCCTGGAGGGAATGGCAACCCACTCCAATAGCCTCGCCTGGGAAGTCCCATGGACAGGGGAGCCTGGTGGGCTACAGTCCATGAGGTCACAAAAGACACAGATACGACAGAGCACACACCCTAGACTCAATGTCCACTTTATGAGATACCACCGAGTTAATTACATGAAATTGTAGGAAAACATCACCATATGGGAATGCCAACAATTTTCAATATAAATCTTCTGGACTGCAGGAAACCAAAAATACTGGCAAATGTTTTAGGTAAAACAAATGTAAAACTTAAATGCAATATGCAAATCTTATTTGAATCCCAGCTTCCCCCCAAACCCGACAACTATAAAATATACTTTTGGAAAACTGGAGAAATTTTGATTTTCTTGGATGGTCAGTGGAGTTTTGTTTTTAGTAGGACACTGTCCTCATTCTTAGAAGTCAATGTCTGCAATTCACCATTAAATGGTTCATCATTTTATATATATATATATATAAAATGACAGACAAAATCTTAAATTAGTGAACCTAGATTAAGGGTTCATGGATATTTCTTTTATTGACCACAAATTTTCTTAAGATAAAAACTTCAAGATGAGGGATTAGCCACATTGGTCATTAATTCACCAATAGTTATATACTAATAACTGGGTAAATTAGGTTAGATGTGACATATTATTAAAAATAACTTCACATGTATATTTTCTCCTAATTGACTACTAAAAAATTTTAAATCACATTACATTTGTATTAGATACTACTGGCTCTACCAAGGTGATTCAGTGGTAAAGAACCTGACAGCAAAGGCAGGTGACCTGGGTTTGACCCCTGGGTCAAGAAGATCCCCTGGAGGGAATGGCAACCCACTCCAATAGCCTCGCCTGGGAAGTCCCATGGACAGGGGAGCCTGGTGGGCTACAGTCCATGAGGTCACAAAAGACACAGATACGACAGAGCACACACCCTAGACTCAATGTCCACTTTATGAGATACCACCGAGTTAATTACATGAAATTGTAGGAAAACATCACCATATGGGAATGCCAACAATTTTCAATATAAATCTTCTGGACTGCAGGAAACCAAAAATACTGGCAAATGTTTTAGGTAAAACAAATGTAAAACTTAAATGCAATATGCAAATCTTATTTGAATCCCAGCTTCCCCCCAAACCCGACAACTATAAAATATACTTTTGGAAAACTGGAGAAATTTTGATTTTCTTGGATGGTCAGTGGAGTTTTGTTTTTAGTAGGACACTGTCCTCATTCTTAGAAGTCAATGTCTGCAATTCACCATTAAATGGTTCATCATTTTATATATATATATATATAAAATGACAGACAAAATCTTAAATTAGTGAACCTAGATTAAGGGTTCATGGATATTTCTTTTATTGACCACAAATTTTCTTAAGATAAAAACTTCAAGATGAGGGAATTTCTTGGTGGTCCAGAGGTTAGGACACTGCACTGTCAATCCCGTGGGTCAGGGTTCAACTCCTGGTGGGGGAACTAAGATCCCTCCAGCCCGTGCAGCACGGGCGAAAGAAAAAAAAAAAAAAAAGAGAGAGATTCTAGATGAATACCTGGAAGAAAAATCTACCCCTTAAAACTCATCTTGCGTAAATTCAATTCCAACTGCTGCTACTAACGGAAAACAGCCTCGATCGGCTTCCTTCCCAGAGACTTCCATATTTTGAAGGTTTGGGGCTTTACGGGGCTCTCATATGGTAAATTTATTATTTATATGAGTCCTTCACTCCTGCTCCTATTCAGATCAAACAGACGTGCTCCCTAATAACCTACAAAGGTTTCTTCTCTTTTCAACGGAATATGACTTACCAAACTTCAATAACCGACAACCACAGCCGGAGTAAGGCCACCGAGAGCTAAACGGGACAAGAGGACAGGGGGCCATAAGCGCCGGAGTGTCGAGAAGGACGGAGATGCTATTTCTTTTCCCTGTGGAGAAAGGACCCAAGGCTGCTCTGGAAGAATGTGAAATCGGGACCAACGCGGATGGAAAGTAGGCCGTGCCGACCCGCCTCCTCCCGGAACTGCCGCCGGGACACCGGCGGGCCGAGCCGGTCCAGGCTCTCGGAGGAGGGGCCGCCGCCCGGCAGCGCCGGCGGGAAGCCAGGGCGTCCAGGTCAGCCCTCGAGGCCAGCGTCCTTTGGCTTCAAGCCTCCTCTTGGGTCTCTTCCCCTCCTGCTTGACCGCACACAGCCGGGACAGTAAGAAACGAAAAATTTCACCTCAGACCCCGGCCGAGGCCCACAAATAACAGAACTTCCGTCTTGCGCACGCGCAAATTCAAACGCGCACGCGCAAATTCAAACGCGCACGCGCACTTCCAGTGTCCGCGTGCAGCCTAAGGGGTGGGGCCTCGGAGGTGGGGTGGGGCCTGGGAGTTTGGGCGGGCCCTAGAGGCCACTGCTTCTCAAGTCCCGGAGCCTCGGAGAGTTATACCTTTTTCTTCCCGCCGAGAGGCGCTAAGGCTCAGGTTCCGGACCCGCAAGGCGGGGCTGTGGCCCATAATCGGCTCGGTGGTTTGCTTTCCTCAGTAGTCCATGCATCTTACATGAATGACAATTGCTTTCAAATTTGGGTGGATAATTGAATAGTCATTTCGTAGAAGGAGACAGATAATTAATGTGACAGTGCACAGTCTACAATAATCTTTAGGAATCCTCTAAGTTGTCTTGCAGCAAAAGGAAACGGAAATTTTAAAAATTTATTTTACTTTATTCTGATGTATTTACTTCGCTGCATTGGATCTTAGTATCGGCGCACAGGCTTAGCTGCCCTGCAGCATGTGTGATATTAGTTCCCCCACCAGGGATGAACCAGCGTCCCCTGCATTGGAAGGGAGATTCTTAACCACTGGACCACCGGGGAAGTCCCCAGGAAAGGGAATTTTTAATAGCTGCTATTCAATTTGGTGTGAGGACTTGTTTCTCAGTGTTACATCATGAACTATACAATTAACCTACTAAATCTGATTTAATTGTAATTTATCCTCAAACACTTTGTGTCTTATTTCTTTATTTTTGGCTGGGAGGTTTGCAAGATCTTAATTCCTTGACCGGGGATCGAATCCAGGCCCCCTGCAATGAAAGCACTAAACCCTAACCATTGGATCACCAGGGAATTCCCGGAAACTGTATGTCTTTAGATAACAAAGGTTTCCAGAGATAAAAAGATTTCTCTTGAGGGGAGGTTGGATCACGTGAATATAACAGTTCAGCAGAGGATGAGATGGTTGTATAGCGTTACTGACTCAATGGACATGAGTTTGAGCAAGCTCTGGGAGATGGTGAAGGACAGGGAAGCCTGGCATGCTGCAGACCATGGGGTCGAAAAGAGTTGGACAGGACTGAGCGACTGAACAACAACAACACTTAGAATCAAAGTAGAAGAATAGGGAGGTTGAAAGGCTTAGAGATTATGGTTGAGAAACTGGAAGAAGTAGGAGGGGATGTTAGTGAATACTTGTGACGTCACACTTCCAGGTGTATTGTTTTGTCATACGAAAGTGAAAAGGTATTCGGAGTCAGGATGTAAAGGAATACTAGAGAAAGCTGAACAGAGACCTACTACTGTGAAGTATGCTGATTTCAGAAGTAAAGAATCCAGAATGGCAGCTGGGTTGGGGGTGGGGGGGGGGCACAGGAAATGTGGGCACATGATACAATTTATAACCCTTAATTTTTTTTTTTTTTTACAAAATAATTCCCTGTGTCATTATTATTTTTTGAGAGGATAGGAGTGCTTCAGAGATTAGTACAAGAAATGAGTAAGCTCTTGACTATGAAATCTGCAACAGTAGGTCATAGTGCTTCTAGTTCTTCGAGATTTCTTGTTTAGTTGATAATCATGTCTGACTCTTTTGTGATTCCATGGACTATAGCCCACCAGGCCCTTCTGACCATGTGATTTCCCAGGCAAGAATTCTGGAATAGGTTGCCAGAACTGTGCAATTGCAGAGGCATTATGAGGTTTATATTGATTCATATGGGTCTATAATCTTTCTTTCCCCCACATCTGTAGATGAGACGTTAGTTATTGAGAAAAGTAAATCAGAAAACTGAACTAATTAGTGAGTTGGAGAAACATGAGTGGAGCGTCTTTAAGGGAAGCCAACATAAATTAGTATATTGGGACATCAGAGCCTGAGAGATTAAAAAAGGGGAAAAAAGTCTTCCAGGTGAGAATCTAATAGTGGCTCTTCACTGAGTCAAAAGTTCCCATCTGAATAGGCTAGTGGGGATAAAGAACTGAGAAAGATGTGTTGAGGATTTGGGAGAAAAGAGGAGTGGGAGAGAACATGGAAATATATGGTTGGTAAATCCCACCACTGAGAACTTTTTATTGCTCCAAGAAAGGTTCATGGAAGACTGAGAGAAATTAATGGTGGAGAATATGTCTCTAGTGTCTTAAAAAACTGGATGTTTGATGGCAACTCACAAGTAGAGTTATTTTACTCTGCTGACCCAAGGGTCATTTGTAATGTAAGTTTTAAACATTTTCATACCCTCTTGGTGTATGTGTGTGTGGCATAATATCTTGACATGCAAATAAAGTCTGGGGTGCGGGTTCCATTTTATGTCTGCAGAGTGACTATGACAATAGGATAACTGGTTCGGTGGATACCAGTAAGCCTCCTTTTCCAGCTGCTCGTCTCCCCAGTGGGCTCCTGAACAAAGTAGCCACGGTGGCAGAGATGAAAGTTATGCATGGGCTCAGCAAAACCTACTACCTCGGGACTTCTCTGATGGTCCAGTGGTTAAGCATGTGATTAAGATTCTGTCTTGCAATGCAGGCAACACAGGTTCAATCCCTGATTGGGGAACTAAGATCCCACAGGGGAATATAACTAAGCCACGCCCCTAGGCCTGGTCGCGTCCCAGCTCCGCCCCACAAGCCTAGTCAACCAAGCCCCGCCACGGGCCTGGTCCCGCTCCAGCGTCATCCAACGCCAAGTCCTCGGCTGACCCGGCTCCACGACCCAGTCGCGTCTCTCCCTGTAAGAAACTAGCACTTCTCCGCTTGCTGCTGGAAGCTGCCACCGCGCCCCCCCCCCCCCCCNCCCCCCCCCCCCCCTTTTCCCAGCTCCCGAGACCCCGCCCCTAACGCTGTACGTGTCTCAGAAACCGGAAGCAGCAGCACGCTTCTGCGCGTGCGCGAGCGGGCGGCCTTGTCTTTTTGCATCTCTGTCTAAATCTGACGCAAATTTTCGCCTGAGTTCTGCCCAGCCAGCCCCAAGTCTGGTGCTCAGGAGGTGGAGAACTCGCCCTTGCGATCAGTGGTCAAAAGACTGCTGCTTGGGCTTCCCGCCGGGAGCTGCTCCCTGCCGCTCCCGGGGTCTCTAGCAGCCGCGGCTGGTCCCAAGTTCACTGAATCAGGAACTCTGTGAGGGTCCAAGCAGTCGGGGTGAATCGGCTGCAGGCAAGAGTTGAAGAGCCATTCTCGTACTTAATCGGCCTCCAAAAGCATCCTCTGCTCTTTCCGGAAAGGAAAAGCATCCCTGACATTCGGTCACGGGGACGTGAGCCTCAACCTCGTCTCTGAGCGGGTCTGTGGATTTCGGTTTGTTTGGTGAGTGCGGGGTGACGTTTGCTTAACTCCGTTCGCATCTCTCCCTTCCAGGTGCAAGAGATACGTTTTAACCTTTTGATTTCTTTTTCTCGAACTGTGGGAGTGAGTTTGCTACATTATATTCAGCTATATACTAGTGAACTGATTATTTAGTATCTTTTTAACCCCCGTTTGCCAGTTGCCGCTCTGAATGTTAGTCGTTTATCCTAGAATTTTTTTGAATTTCACACCGCAAGTGTGATCATATGCCAGTTTTAGCGTTTTCTTTTTTATTCCTCGTACCTTATATTTTTGTTTATTTAGTGCATTTGCCAGGACTTTCAGTTCAATGTAGAAAGCATATAAATTGCCTCCTTGCCTTGTTCCTGATCCCAGAGGGAATTCTGTCATTTCATTATTAAATAGGATGTTTGCTATAGGTGTTTGTAGATTATATATATATATATATATTCTAATTAAAGCCTATTTCCGTCTAGTCCTAGTGGGTTAAATTATTATCATCAATGGATATTGATAGAAATCAGTCACTATTTTATATTGAAGGGGATGAGTCATATGATCTTTTTCTATTGATGTGAATTATATTTATCGTTTTAACTATATAAATCATTTTAACCACCCATCAGTCCTAGGAGAAATGAACTTAGTTTGTGATTACTATCTTCATTATTCATTCCTGGACTATACTTAATATTTTAATATTTTGCCCTTGTGTATACGAATGACATCTTTCATATGTGTGTGTGTGTGTACATGTACATAAATACACACATATTTGAGTTTTGAGTCCCTTTCTCATCTTGGAAATACACAGGAAAACACCCCCTCAACAACAAAGAAATGGAATTATGAATCCTTTACTTATTTGGTGAATCTGTCTGTAAAAGTCTGTAGCTTCTGTTTCCTTTGTAGATATGTTCTAAACAGCTTTTTTTTTTTTTTTCCTTTAATGACTGGATGTAAACAGGTTTTGTATTTATAGTTTTGTTAACTTTTTTCACTTTAATTTTTTTAAAATTGAAGTATATTTGATTTACAATGTTGTGTTAATTTCTGCTCTGTAGCAAAATGACTTATACATGTATATACATTATTTTTTTATATAATATATTCTTTTTCATTATAGTCTATCCTAGGATATTGAATATAATTCCTTTTGCAATGTAATAGGACTTTGTTGTTTATCCATTCTATAGTTTGCATCTACTAATTCCAGACTCCTAGTCCATCCCTGTCCTATCTCCTCTCCCCTTTGGTAGCCACAAATCTGTTCTCTGTATCTGTTGAGTCTTTTCCCATTTTGTAGATTGGCTTGTTTGTGCCACATTTTAGATTCTGCATATAAATGATATCATATGGTATTTGTCTTTCACTTTCTAACTTGCTTCACTTAGTGTGAAAATTTCTGGCTATACCCGTGTTGCTGCAAATAGCATTATTTCTTTCTTTTTTTTAAAAAATGGCTGAGTAGTGTTCCACTTTCTATATGTACCACATCTTCTTTATCCATTCCTCGGATATTTAGGTTGTTTACCTGACTTCACTGTTGTGAATAGTGGTGCTTTGAACATAGGGATGCATGTATCTTTTTGAATTGCTTTATTCCAGATATATGCCCAGGAGTGGGGTTTTTGGATATACGGTAGTTCTGTGTTTAGTTTTTTAAGGAACCTTACATGGTTGTACCAATGTACAATGGTTGTACCAATTTACATTCCTACCAACAGTGTAGGAGGGTTCCCTTTTTTCCATGGGAGAGAGTATGTTCTAATTTCTTTGGTTTACATGCAGCTGTCCAGCTTTCCCAGCACCACTTGCTGAAGAGATTGTCTTTTTCCCATTGTATATTCTTGCCTCCTTTGTTGATGATTAATTGACCATAGGCATATGGATTTGTTTCTGGGCTCTCTGTTCTGTTCCATTGATCTGTATGTTTGTTTTGTTTTTTTTTGTGTGTGTGCAAATACCACACTGTTTTGAATACTGTAGTTTTGTAGTATTGTCTGAAGCCTGGGACGCTTATGCCTTTTGCTTTGTTCTTCTTCCTCAGGATTGCTTTGGCAATTCTGAGTCTTTTATGATTTCATATAAATTTTAATATTATTTGTTCTAGTTCTGTGAAAAATGACATGGGTAATTTGATAGGGATAGCAATAAATCTGTAGGTTGCTTTGGGTAGTATTGCCATTTTAGCTTTTCTGATTCTAAGTTTTTAAAAATATCACTGGTGGTGGTTTAGTCACTAAGTAGTGTCTGACACTTGTGACCCCTTGGACTGTAGCCTGCCAGGCTCCTCTGTCCATGGGATTCTCCAGGCAAGAGTACTGGAGTGGGTCTCCATTTCCTTCTCCAAAAAATATCATTAATTTTGTCATATATATGTGTGTATATATATATATATATATTTTTTTTTTTACACCTTTATGCGGTTGTTTTTCTGCCATTATACATCAATGGTTAACCTATCATTACTGATTTTTCTTCTATAGGAATTGATGATGTTTATAAATACAATTAACCCTTGAATAACATGGGTTTGAAATGCATGTGTCCACTTATATACAGATTTTTTCCCCCCCCTACTATTAAATACTGCAAATACTACAGGATGGGCCATTGGTTGAATCCTTGGATACTGAGGGCTGACTATGAGTTAAACTCAGATTTTCCACTGCCGGAGGGTTGGTACCCCAACCCCTGCAATTGTTTGAGGGTCAGTTGTGCATAAATATATGTGCCACACCAGCTGTTGATTTCTTGTGTTGTTTGAAACAGTTGTTCTATTTATTCTTAAAAAATTATTTTTAGCTGCATTGGGTCTCCATTGCCAAGCGTGGGTTTTCTTTACTTGTAGCAAGTGGGGGCTACTCTTCTTTGCAGTTTGTTGCCGGAGCCTGCCGGCAAACGAACCGGTCACGGGCGCAATCGCCGAAATACCTGAGAAATAAAAGAAAAGACTAGGAAAGAAAGACTAGGAAAGAATGGGGTTGAGAGGGACGGAGTCAGCTCTAGACTGTAACCGACAACCGACAACCGACAACCGACAACCGACAACCGACAACCGCCGACTTTATTGAGGAGTGACATGCTTATATATGAGTAAGGGAGTGGCGTCTTAGTATGATTACAATCAGTTAAAAGATTATCATGATCACAATCAATTAAAGATTATCTAAGGATTACTTAGACATAAACCATACACAGGAGCCTGACAATCTCGTCAGGAAAATGGGTAAAAGGTCGCTACAGCAATTTCCTTGAGGGAGGTGAGAAAGGTCAACCTGTACTTTAATAAATCAGGGGTGGCGGGACAGAGAGGGACCTCTTGATCTCTCTCAGGGCCAAGAAGGAGCCTGAGCGGTCAGGCTGGCTCCCCGCAGTTTGTGGGCTTCTCATGGTGGTGGCTTCTCATTGCAGAGCACAGACTCTAGGTGTGCGGGCTTCAGTAGTTGCCACTTGTGAGCTGAGTAGTTGCAGCGTGAGGGCCCTAGAGTGCTGGCTCAGTAGTTGCGGTGCACAGCTTGGTTGCCCTGTGGTATGTAAAATCTTTCTGGACCAGGGATCAAACCCCTGGCCCCTGCAGATTCTTAACCACTGGGCCACCAGGGAAGTCCTAAAGCAGTTGTTTTAATTTCCTGCTTCTACCCTGTCACATAAGTGGTCCTGACTTGCTAAAGATAAATGTGTGTATATCTCCTTATCCCTATAATGTGATATATTTTTATATAGCATATACCATCACCTGATAATATTTTGTTAATTTACTGGTCCTCCTTAAAATAATTTTAAGACCCAAGCACTTTAGGATTTTTCTGTTTTGTTCAGTGCTGTGTCTCCTCTGACTGCACATAGTTGGACAGGGCAAATATTACCTAAATAAACATGAGATGAAGGAGCAGGAGGTAGAGAACTTAAGGGGAGCATCCTTGTTGAAGACATAGGGCTTAGTCCAGAGAAGGAGCTCAAGGGCAGGAATAGAGATGCAAATATAGAGAATGGACTTGTGGACACAGTGGAGGAAGGAGACGGTGGGATGAATTGCGAGAGTAGCATTGACATATGTATGCTACCATGTGGACAGTGGATAGTAGAAAGCTTCTGTGTAGCACAGGGAGTCAGCTTGCTGCTGTGTTACAACCTATAGGGGTGGGATGGACATGGGTGGGAGGGAGACTCAAGAGGGAGGGAATATATGTAATTTATAGCTGATTCACTTTGTTGTATAGAAGAAACCAACATAACATTGTAAAGCATTTGTTGTTCAGTCACTAGTGAAAGTCACTCAGCCGTGTCCAACTCTTTGCAACCCCATGGACTATACAGTCCATGAAATTCTCCAGGCCAGAATACTGGAGTGGGTAGCTGTTTCCTTCTCCAGGGCATCTTCCCAACCCAGGGGCTGAACCCAGGTCTCCCCCACATTGCAGGCAGATCTTTACCAGCTGATCTACCAGGGAAGCATTCAGTCGCTAAGTTGTGTCCAACTCTTTGCAACCCTATGAACTGCAGAATGCCAGGCTTCCCTGTCCCTCACTATCTCCTGGAGTTTGCTCTAACTCATGTCCATTGAGTCGGTGATACCATCCAGCTGACATCCATCTTCTGTCATCCCGTTCTCCTCTTACCCTCAATCTTTCTCAGCCTCCTCAGATGGCCAAAATATTGAAGGTTCAGCATCAATCCTTCCAATGAGTATTCAGGGTTGATTTCCTTCAGAATTGACTGGTTTGATCTCCTTCCTGTCCAAGGGACTCTGAAAAGTCTACCCTCCAATTAAAAATAAATTAATAAAAAAGAGAAGGAGCTCAAAGATAAAACAGTTGAAGGGAATACTTCATTTGTTTACTCTCCATAGTGTGCCCGACAGCATTCTAGGCTAGAGCCCAGTAATGTTAGGGCATAGGGGCCTCACTGACAACTAAATTATAAGGTATATATTCAGAAGCACACTCTTTGGGCATTTAGCTTTGAAGGTAAATACACCTGGATACACACCCTCCCTCAGCAGCTTTCTATTTGGATAACACTGAGCACACGTCTATGTGACTAAGTTTCTGTTGGCTCTACAATACATATTTGGTCCACTGAAGTGAAAGAGACTGCTGTGTTTGCATTATTTGAAATTCATGCACTAGTACTGTGGATGCCACTGTCAGAGATGACACATATGCCAACTTCACTTCAGGTATTCTTGTTCAGCTATGGCTATACCTCCTATACAGGCAGAATTTAACATGAGATGTCTTCTCTGCCACCTGCGTGTGAAATTCAGTCAGTTGTGCTATTTCTCAAAAACTAGATTTTGGAGACCCTGCAGTCCTAGGAGGGGGAGGATCTCATAGTCAGAGATTGAGTAGTAATACATGTTGGCTTGCCAGGTGGTGCAGAAATAAATATTGGGTGGAGATCTGGCATACAAGTCACACTTTCCTTTGAGATGGAGTGTATATTTTTACTACTAAAGGCATTCTCTTATATTTTTAATGTTTTCGTTATCATGGGCAGATTGACAGCTAAATTTTTTTAGACTCCAGCTGACTTACTTACAAAATGGACTCTTAAATCTTTTTTTTTTCTTTTTAATGATCTACAAGAGTGAGAGGACTGTTTCTAGCTCTTGAGGAGATAAAATTGCTCCAAATAAAGAAAAAAACTATGCATGAAACAAATGCTCGGGGCTGGTGCACTAGGATGACCCAGAGGGATGGGATGGGGAGGGAGGTGGGAGGGGAGTTCAGGATGGGGAACACATGTAAATCCATGGCTGATTCATGTCAATGTATGGCAAAAACCACTACAATATTGTAAAGTAATTAGCCTCCAACTAATAAAAGTAAACGGAAAAAAAAATAAAAGAATGTTAAAAACTGTAAAAAAAAAAAGAAAAAATCTTTTTATTTTGTATTGGGGTGTAGCTAATTAACAATGTTGTGATAGTTTCAGGTGAGCAAGGAAGGCACTCAGTCATACATATACATGCATCCATTCTTCCCTAAACTCCCCTCCCACCCAGGCCTCCACGTAACATTGAACAGAGTTCCGTGTGTTACACAGTAGGTCATTGTTGGTTATCCACTTTAAATATAGCAGTGTGTACATGTCCATTCCAAACTCCCTAACTATCCCTTTCCCCTATCCTTCCCCCTGGCGACCATAAGCTCCTTCTCTATGTCTGTGAGTCTCTTTCTGTTTTGTAAGTAAATTACTATTTTTTCTTCTTGCTCCATTTTTTCACAAGATCAATGTGTATTTGCTTGGGTGTGCAGGGGCTTTGCGTGTGTGTGTGTGTTTTTTGAGGAGAATGATCACTCATAACAGATGTGCTGCCGAATCCAGAGTCTTGATTGTGAAGACTGTGGGGATACCCAGATTCTCATGTCTTCTTTCTCCTGTCTCAGCTGTAACATCTCAATACTTTTTCTTTCTTCATGAAGGGAATATGGAGGAAGAGAGAAGAGCTGCTGAGTTACAGAAAAATGTGATACAGGTAAGTAAGAGCTAATAATTCTCCAAAAGAATATTTCAATTCCATCAGGTTATCTATGTCCTAAATTTAGAGCAGAGATCAACAACCTTTTCCTACATTGGGTCACATAGTAAGCATTTTAGACCATAGTTTCTATTTTACTCAGTTCTGCCATTTTATTGTTTTTTGTTTATTTGTTTTGGGCAGCTTGTAGGATCTTATTTCCCTGACCAGGGATTGAACCTGTGCCCTCAGCAGTGAAAGCATGGAGTCTTAACCACTGGACTGCCAGGGATTTCCCATCAGTTCTGCCATTTTAGTGTGAAAGCAGCCATATACAGTGTATTAACAAATGTTTTATTGTATCCCAGTAAAAGTTTATGTATATAAACAAGTGATAGACTGATTTTAGATCATGTTCTATAATTTACAGCTCCTGAGCCTAGAGTGTAAGAAAATATGACTGACTGTGGGCCTGGGTTGAATGTTGTGCTTCTTGCTGACTTCTGGGCCCCAGGTATATGGGGGGAAAAAAGAAAAGGTCCTTGTCCCTTGGGGATTTAAGCTTCATCCAAATTTTATCTGGTGTTTTGTGTTGTGCTGATTGCTATGGTGGGGAATAAGGAAGCAGGTGAACTTGTTTCTGTAACAAGGAATTTTTTTTTAATGGTTTTTTTTTGTTACAGTAGTTTTTCTGCTTTACAGTAGGATGTTTTGTTATGGTTGTTTTTTCTGTTTTCTGTTTTGGTTTTCTGGCCTCAAGGCATGTGGGATCGTAGCTGCTCAACCAAGGATTGAACCCACATCCCCTGCATTGGAAGATACAGTCTTAAGCCCTGAACCTCCAGGGAAGTCCCTCTAACAAGGGATTTTTGCTTCTTTCAATGTGGAAATTGTTATTTCATTTTTAGAGCAATTCTCTGATATCTGCAATATGCTCTGGATGTTCTTGATTATTGTAAGAGTAGAATTAGTCCCCATCAAACAGTGGAAAGATAAATTTAGTGTTTCAAAAATGTTGTTAAACCTATGAAACAGAATTTGATCAGTCAGGATGCTTAGATAGAAAAAGAAAGATCTGATGACTGAATCCTAGGGTAGATATTTGCGAGAAAAGAACCTTCTGAATCTCTTGTGAGTTGATTCTCAGTTCTCCAGTAGTGTCAACCTCATTCACCCTCTTGCACATGCTGGGGGAGTTGGTACCTTTCTGAACAAAGTATGTGGAATGTTTTAGGACACAGTGGTCTTCGAGGATGTGGCTGTGGACTTTACCCAAGAGGAGTGGGCTCTGCTGAATCTCGCTCAGAGAAACCTCTACAGAGATGTGATGCTGGAAAATTTCCGGAACCTGGCCTCATTAGGTAAGAATGGCAACATTCTTCCAACATTCTGTTATTTAGAAAACAGCTTTTTCTTATAAATTGCCCTTTTTCTAGGATTTGGGTTGAAAAACTGGAATAAATTGTTAAATAAGACAGACATGGTCACTGACACCAAGTAGCTTATGGTTTAGTGGCTTCACCATGAAAATAAACATGTGTATTGTTAAAATAGTTCACCAATATAAAACAAGCAAAAGAATTAGTGAAAATTTCCTTACCCATTTTGCCACTGGCACTGAATACAGAGTTTTCATTTTCTCAGGGTTGTAAAGTTTTCATTTTCTCTCAGGGTACTGAAAGCTTTATTTTTCTTCATTCAGTCATTCTTTCATTGTTTTTTTTTTCCATTTATTTTTATTTGTTGGAGGCTAATTACTTTACAATATTGTAGTGGTTTCTCATTCTTTCATTCTGTAAGCATTTTTTTTTGAGGATGAACTTGTATCAAACCCTTTTGAATATGTACTATGGACGATAAGATGTCATTGTATTCAAAATGCTTCAGTAATGGAGAAGATAAATATGAAATTAACATGAAGAAAAGAAAGAAAATAAACATATATATTGAACCTGCTTTTCCTTTTTCTTGTGGTCAGAATCCTCAAGGAGGCTTATTTAGTGAGTATAGTGTGGGCACAGACTTCAGGGGTCACTTTGGGGGACAGGGAGAAAATTGGTGGTTTGGGACCTTTTGAGAATTTTACTGCTGTTAATTCTCTGTACCCGAAGACCACCAGTTTAACAAGTTGGGTTTATTCCTTGGAGCAGTGAGGGAGAAGCACATGTTATGGGGAACAATGCAGTGTATTAGAAAGTAAATATTATAGGATTTAATACTTAGGTCGAATAACTTGTGGGTAGGTCCATGAAAACAAGCTGTTCCGTTTTCCTAGGCCTTCCATAACAAAGTGCCACAAACTGGGTAGCTAAGAACAAAAGAAGCTTATTCTTTTACTTTTTAAAAAACTTCCTCTACCTCTACTCCCCAGTCTTATTCTGTAGCTAGACAACTATTTTATTTATCTAGGCTGTGCTGGGTCTTCCTTGCTGCACTTGGGCTTTCTCTAGTTGCAATGAGTGGGGCTACTCTTTGTTGGGGTGCATGGGCTTCTCATAGTGGTGGCTTCTCTTGTCGGGGAGCCCAGGCTTTAGGTGCGAGGGCCTCAGTGGTTGTGGTGCATGGGCTTAATTGCTCCATGGCATGTGGAATCTTCCTGCACCAGGGACTGAACATGTGTCTCCTGCCTTGGCAGGCATATTCTGTACCACCTGTACCACCAGGGAAGTGTGAATTTACTCTTCTAAATTTCAGGAGATTGGCAGTCTGAAATCAAGGTGTCATGGTCCTTCTGAAGGCTCAGGAAAAATCCCTCCTTGTCTCTTCCTAGCCTTTGGTTGTTGCTGGCAGTCCTTGGTTGGTAGCCACATCACTCTAATCTCTGCCTCCATCTTCATAGTGCCTTCGTCCTTTGTCTCTACATTTTTCTGTCCTTGTAAGGACCCCAGTAATTGCATTTAGGGCCTACCCCAATCGAGTATAACTTTATGTTAACTTGATTACATCTGCAAATATCTATTTCTAAATAAAGTAATGTTCTGAATTCTGGGTGGACATGGATTCCTCCCCCACCCCCCCAGTATACTTTATTTTTGTTAGAGCAGTTCATAGGCTCACAGCAAAATTAACAGGCAGGTACAAAGATTGCCCATAAATGCACTGCTTTCTACCAAAGTGGTATATTTATTACAGTTGATGAACCTATATTGACACATCATTATCACGGTAAATCTCAAGTTTATATTAGTGTTCACTTTTGTTGTATCTTGTTACAGTTTAGACAAATATGTGATGACATTTCCACCATTATGGGCTTCCCTGGTGGCTCAGTAGTAAAGAACCCTCCTGACAATGAAGCAGATGTGCAGTTTGGATCGCTGGGTTGGGAAGATCCTCTGGAGTAAGAAATGGCAATCCACTCTAGGATTCTTGCCTGGGAAATCCCATAAACAGAGGAGTCTGGTGGGCTATAGTCCGTGGGGTCATGAAAGAGTAGGACACAACTGATTGACTAAACAACAACAGGCATCCACCATTATAGTATCATAGAGTAATTTCACTACTCCTAAAAATTCTTTATCCCCCTCCACCCCAGTTTTTTTCTCCTTCCCTTCCAACTCCTGGCAGCCACTCATCTTTTTGCTGTTCTCATAGTTTTGCCTTTTCCAGAATGTCATGTAGTTGGAATCATACAGGATATAGCCTTTTCAGATTGACAATTTTCACTTACTAATATGCATTTAATGCTCTTCCATCTCTTTATGGCTTGATGGCTGATTTCTTTTTAGTGCTGAGTAATATTTTGTTGTCTGGATGTACAATACCAGTCTGTTTATCCATTCACTCATTGAAGAACACGATTGCTTCCACCTTTTGGCAATTATGATTAAAACTGCTATAAACATCCACATGAAGGTTTTTGTGTAGATGTGTTTTTAACTCCTTTTGGTAACTTCAAGAGAGCATGATTGCTTTCTTATATGGCTAAGAGTATGTTTAATTCGGTAAGAATCTGCCAAATTGTATTCCAAAGTAGCTGTACCATTTTTCATTCCCACCAGCTCCATATCCTCACCAGGACTTGGCCATTCTTTTAGGTATGTAGTGGTGTCTCATTGTTTTGCTTTGCATTTTCCTGATGACAGGTAATGTAGAACATCTTTTTTTTCATATGCTTATTTGCTATCTATGTATCTTCTTCGTAAGGCATCTGTTAAAGTCTTAGGCCCATTGGAAAAAAAAAACTTAAATGTTTATTGAACTGTAGTTGGTTTACAGTGTTGTGTTTAATTTCTGTTGTATAGCAAAATGACTCAGTTATACTTACATATATATATGTTCTTCATATTCTTTTGGAGAAGGAAATGGCAACCCACTCCAGTAGTCTTGCCTGAAGAATTCCATGAACAGAGGAACCTGGCAGTATATAGTCCACGGGATTGCAAAGAGTCAGACACAACTGAGTGACTAACACTTTTCACTTTCTTTTCCACTATGATTTATCACAGGATATTAAATATATTTCCCTGTGCTATACAGTAGGATCTTGCTTATTTATTCTATATATAATAGTTTGCATCTGCTAATCCCAGACTCCCAATCCACTCCTTGCCCTTGACACCCACGAGTCTGTTCTCTGTGTCTACGAGTCTGTTTTTGTTTTGTAGGTATGTTCCACTTGTGTCGTATTTTAGATTCCACATATTAAGTGAGATCATATGGTATTTGTCTTTCTCTTTTTGACTTACTTTGCTTAGTATGATAATCCCTAGGTCCATCCATGTTGCTGCAAATGGCATTATTTATTTCTTTTTAATGACCGAGTAATATTCCACTGTATATGCATACTGCATCTTTTTTGATCCATTTATCTGTTGATGGACATTTGAGTTGTTTCCATGTCTTGGCTATTGTAATAAATAGTGCTGGTTTGAATGTTGGGGTGTATGTATCTTTTAGAATTATAATTTTGTCTGGTTATATGCACAGGAGTGGGATTGCTGGATCATATGGCAACTGTACTTTTTGTTTCTTGAGGAACCTCCATACTGTTTTCCATGGTGACTGCACAAGTTTACATTCCCACCAACAATGTAGGTGGTTGTTCAGTTGCTAAGTCATATCTGACTCTTTGTGACCTCATGGACAGTAGCACCCCAGGCTTCACTACCTTCACTATCTCCTGGATAGTGTAGGAGGGTTTCCTTTTCTCCACACCCTCTCCAGTGTTTGTTATTTGTAGACTTTTTAAAATTAATAATCCTTTTATGAAGGATAATTGCTTTACATAATTTTATTGTTTTCTGTCAAACCTCAACATGAGTCAGCCATAGGTATACATGTATCCCCTCCTTTTTGAACCTCCCTCCCATCTCCCTTCCTATCCCACCCCTCTAGGTTGATACAGAGCCCCTGTTTGAGTTTCCTGAGCCATACAGCAAATTCCTGTTGGCTGTCTATTTTACATATGGTAATGTAAGTTTCCATGTTACTCTTTGCATACATATTTGTAGACTTTTAAATAATCAAAAAATAAATGGAAAAAAAAAAGAAATAAAAATGTAATCACTTATCCTAAAAAAAAAAATAAATAAATAATCACCATTCTGACTGGTGTGAGGTGGAACCTCATTGTTGTTTTGATTTGCATTTTAATAATTAGTGATTATCATAACTAATTATTAATTAATTAGTTAATAATAAGATAATTAATTATCAATAATTAGATTATTAATTATTTAATTATTAGTAATTAGACGAACATCTTTTCTTGTGCCTGTTGGCCATTTGTATGTCTTCTTTAAGAGAGAAATGTCTAGGTCTTCTGCTTGTTTTTCAATTTTGTTGTTGTTGTTATTGAATTGTAGGAGCTGTTTGAGTTAAGGAGCTTAATTTTGGAAATTAAGCTCTTGTCAGTTGCATCATTTGCAGATATTTTCTCTCAGTCTGTAGGTTGTCTTTTTGCTTTGTTTGTGGTTTACTTTGCTGTGCAAAAGCTTGTAAGTTTGACTTGGCCCCACTTGTTTATTTTTGCTTTTATTTCTCTTACCTTGGGAGACTGGCCTAAGAAAACATTGGTATGATTTATGTCAAAGAGTATTTTGCCTGTGTTCTCTTATAGGAGTTTTATGGTGTCTTGTCTTTTAAGCCATTTTGAGTGTAGTTTTGTGTATGATGTGAGGGTGTGTTGATTCCTTGATACACATGCAGCTGTCTAGTGTTCCCAACACCACTTGCTGAAGAGACTTTTTCTCCATTGTATATTCTTACTTTGGCCTATTTTTTAAAAATCAAGTTATTTTCTTATTGTTGAGTTTTAAGACTTCCGTGTATATTTTGGATAATAGTTCTTTATCATGTGTCTTTTGCAAATATTTTCTCCAAGTATGTGGCATGTCTTTTCATTTTCTTGACAGTGTTTTACTCAGAGCAAAAATTTTTAGTTTTAATGAAGACCAGCTTATCAGTTCTTTCTTTCATGAATTGTGCTTTTCAGGTTACTTGTTGGCTTTAAAAATAATGTTATTTTACCAACAAAAAATGGTTTACTTGGGAATAGCAGGGGAATTGCAATTTGAGATAAGAAAGCTATAACAAAAGCCATAGGCAAGTCCACAGAACAATGGAGAGGAATGTAATTTTGTAGAGAAAAATGAGGAAATTGGGAGAGGTTGTTTCGGATGAAAGTCCACTGGATAAAGGTGA